CTGCGATTTTTACTGTTAATAAATTTTATGTTTTACATTCGTTTAAAATTTTCAAAACTGGAACAAAATTTTTTAAAACGAGTTATATTATATTTATCTGCTTAGAAAAAAATTACTTGCGTACTTGAATAAGGATTTTGATTATCTAATAATATTATTACTAAATTAAATTTAAATAATGATAGGTATCTTCGTTTTTATATCGGAACTTGACGTTTTATCATAAGGGAACAAATATCATATCCAATATCAACAGTATTCATATCAACTTCAAGACACACTAATCTAATAATATAAATGCAAACCACTAGAAGAAACAGGTCGTAGCAAATTAAGTAACCTGATTTAACATAACGCATTTATGTAAATGATTTTAATATTTTTTTGTGTAACTTATTTCGGTGATTGGCATAATAAAGTTATGAATCTGGAACTTGCGCAATTACATTTTCTAAAAACTTACTGAATCAAAATAAACGTATAATGCTAAAAAAAAACACAAGTATAACTATAAGCATGGGATGAGAGTAGACATTACAAACCATCAAAATATGTCAAAAAACCAATTGTAATTTTTAATTCGAATTTATACGTACATACAAATTTGTTTTCATTCTCTTGCAAAGCATTCTAATAATTTTACATCTACTATCTAGGAAAAAAAAATTTTCGACACTTATAAACCTATGTTATCAAGAACAAAATTTTTTTTTTTCAGTTGACAATATACTGATAACGATCGAAGACAACAAACGTAAAATTAATGTATACATAAATATATATATATGGTACATTAAATGGTGTGTATAAACTGATGAATCAAATAAATTAGAAACACAGAAAAAATTATAGAAAGCAGATATAAAGTCGCAGTTTGATTTTTGAATAGTTGTCAAAAGACGAATACACACATCCACTTGATGACCTTTTGGTTAAGTAAATTATGTTTTTTTTAATTACCTACTGTTTGGAAAAAGGCGACACTCTTTGTTTCTTGTTTGTTTATTTATTTTTTTGTTTTTGGTACAGCGCAGATTTCACACCACACTCACTATTGTTATGCTATACTGTCGTTACTGCTGCTGTACACGCTATAGTTATCGTCATTATTAACATAATGGCTGTCAAGAGTGAAGATCACAGCATCCGCTAGACACAATATGAGATGGACGCGGTGTTTGTCATTAAGTATATTTATGTCATGAGTGTGGGCTGTGCACTTTTTGCATTTTATTTCGATACGGTAAGAAACAGTATAAGCCCAAGTTATACACGGTATGCGGTCATTATAGTCGATGTTACAGACTTTTTTTGTCATCCTATGGATTTATAGTGTTAATAATAATGATAATCTTGATAATAACAATGAAAATAAAAATAGTAGTAATGAACAACGTCACCTTTCATCATTTTACCATTTCTTTTTTGCTTACATTTTACGTTTTTATTTTTTTGTTTTTTTTTTCAATATTTCTTTTTTTTTTTACTAACGTTGCCGCGGATGGGATGCGCTCTATTTTACGCGCGAAACCTTTTTCGAGGGCGCGTACATAGGTATGGCTTACTTTCTTCTCTCTTTGTTCACTTTTAATAGTGTATATATATTTATATGCATACGTGTATGTATATCTGTATACTTGTATATGCACGACGGAAGAAGTAGAAAAAGAAATACACACTCACTTTTTTTAATATTTAATATCTTTTTTTTTTTTTTTTTTTCGACATACGACATTCGACATTATGTATTATTTTTTGTTCTCTTTTTTATTTCGTAAGAAATCGCTCGCATTATAACTTATGTTTTATTTTAGTAAGTACGACTTAACAACTTATAGCGTGATACGAGTGTAAATCTGGATAATCGTGAGAAAATCGTCGTATATGAATTATTACTTTTTTTTCTTATTCACCGTTTTATACGACTTTTTTATTTTTTATTTTTAGTTATTTATTTATTTATTTATTTTTTGCTCCTTTTGTTTGGTTTTTTTGTCAGTGCAACTTTATGTCGAATACAATGGTATACTTAATTTAATATTTATAATATAATTTTTTATAAGTAGTAGCAACTTATAAACAATAGAAAAACCCTTGTTTATTGTTTTTGCTTGCAAGGTAATTTAAATATTATAATGAACGTACAAATCATTGGCATAATGCGACGGATCCAAAATAATTAATAGAGAAACAAATTTGTTCTAGCGAAAAGTATATATAGGTAAGCGTCGCTTGTCATTTAAAACGCGCAACCTAAAAACGAAAAAAAAAAAAAAAAAAAAACCTCGTATCAGCATGGCGTCAGCTTGTACAGTCTCGGAACACTTACTTTTCAGCGTCGATTTCGTCATACTGCTGCTGCGCCGCTGACACTTTGGAAGAAAAAGTTCGTTCAAAGGCTTCTGCAGATCGATATCACGTGTTAAATAATAATAGCCTTTCTTTCGCTATCGTCTTTCTTTTTTTTTTTTTTTTTTTTTTTTTTTTTTTTCTTTACGTTGGCTCCCTAATAAAAGTCCTTTTAAGTCCTTAAAAGTCCTTTAAAGTCCATATAATAAAATTTAATAAAATTACTTGCTTCTAGCTGGCTCCACTGCTATTTTCGAGTTTATGATTCTGATTTCCCTCCTTCCCCAACAAAACATGTCAACTCAAAGAGCTTTATTCGAAAAACTTTGAGAGAAACATAAAATCGTCAACGCACGACTTTAGACGTAACCGCTGAAAACTTTATTTCTTCTGCTTGCACGGTAACAGTGTCAATTGACGGTGAAAAGAATATTTGGAAGCGGTCACTCTCCCTTGTATTTTTTTTTTCTTTTTCTATTTTGCATTTACTTAAAAAGTCGCACGTTAACCCGCGAAATATCGACTATCCCCTGTTTTTCTTTCCGATCTTTGGATTTTCAATCTTTTCTACGTTTTTTCCTTCTATCTTTGTTTTTTTGCGTTCCGTCAGCGTCGAGGAAGAAACGAAAGGCCCTTCGTACACACGTCGTCGTCCGATTCGTCATACTTTTGGCACTTCGCTTTGTATAGTTTTTTTTTTTTTTTTTTTTTTTTTTTTACTTTTGGCCTCTCATTGGTTTTTTTTTTTTTTTTTTTTTTTTTTTCGACATACGACATTCGACATTATGTATTATTTTTTGTTCTCTTTTTTATTTCGTAAGAAATCGCTCGCATTATAACTTATGTTTTATTTTAGTAAGTACGACTTAACAACTTATAGCGTGATACGAGTGTAAATCTGGATAATCGTGAGAAAATCGTCGTATATGAATTATTACTTTTTTTTCTTATTCACCGTTTTATACGACTTTTTTATTTTTTATTTTTAGTTATTTATTTATTTATTTATTTTTTGCTCCTTTTGTTTGGTTTTTTTGTCAGTGCAACTTTATGTCGAATACAATGGTATACTTAATTTAATATTTATAATATAATTTTTTATAAGTAGTAGCAACTTATAAACAATAGAAAAACCCTTGTTTATTGTTTTTGCTTGCAAGGTAATTTAAATATTATAATGAACGTACAAATCATTGGCATAATGCGACGGATCCAAAATAATTAATAGAGAAACAAATTTGTTCTAGCGAAAAGTATATATAGGTAAGCGTCGCTTGTCATTTAAAACGCGCAACCTAAAAACGAAAAAAAAAAAAAAAAAAAAACCTCGTATCAGCATGGCGTCAGCTTGTACAGTCTCGGAACACTTACTTTTCAGCGTCGATTTCGTCATACTGCTGCTGCGCCGCTGACACTTTGGAAGAAAAAGTTCGTTCAAAGGCTTCTGCAGATCGATATCACGTGTTAAATAATAATAGCCTTTCTTTCGCTATCGTCTTTCTTTTTTTTTTTTTTTTTTTTTTTTTTTTTTTTCTTTACGTTGGCTCCCTAATAAAAGTCCTTTTAAGTCCTTAAAAGTCCTTTAAAGTCCATATAATAAAATTTAATAAAATTACTTGCTTCTAGCTGGCTCCACTGCTATTTTCGAGTTTATGATTCTGATTTCCCTCCTTCCCCAACAAAACATGTCAACTCAAAGAGCTTTATTCGAAAAACTTTGAGAGAAACATAAAATCGTCAACGCACGACTTTAGACGTAACCGCTGAAAACTTTATTTCTTCTGCTTGCACGGTAACAGTGTCAATTGACGGTGAAAAGAATATTTGGAAGCGGTCACTCTCCCTTGTATTTTTTTTTTCTTTTTCTATTTTGCATTTACTTAAAAAGTCGCACGTTAACCCGCGAAATATCGACTATCCCCTGTTTTTCTTTCCGATCTTTGGATTTTCAATCTTTTCTACGTTTTTTCCTTCTATCTTTGTTTTTTTGCGTTCCGTCAGCGTCGAGGAAGAAACGAAAGGCCCTTCGTACACACGTCGTCGTCCGATTCGTCATACTTTTGGCACTTCGCTTTGTATAGTTTTTTTTTTTTTTTTTTTTTTTTTTTTATACTTTGGTCCTTACATCGATTTGTTTCTTTTTTTTTTGTATATTTTTTGTTTCATTTTTTGGGTATTTTTTTTCTTTTTTAATGTTTTTACACGTCATGGACGCGCCCTGCCTCTAATATTTCCGTGCCGAAACAATAACGCGAAAAACGAGATTCACCTGACAAGTCGATAGAAAGAGATAAAGAGAACAACATTATGATAGATAAAAAATTGCAAAAAATGATAGTCGATTCTTTGGTTCCTCGGTTCAAACGTTACACGTCTGTGTTTTGCTTGCTTTTCTATATACTTTGAATAGTTTTTTTTTTTTTTTTTTTTTTCACTTCAGTTATTCATTCGGCTACCTCATTATCGGCGTTTTGTATGCCACCTAACACGCACTACCCCCAAATCCAGATTTTCACGCGATTAATTTCAATTCAGCTCTAGTGACGAATTTTTTCAGCGTTAGTATTTAAATTCGCTCAATTTTCACTAGTTTTTTTCATTTTTTTTTTAAGTCTTACAACTTTTAATGTTTTTTTTTCTTATATTTCTGGGCTGTATTCATATATAATATGTATATTAACGTGATACCCGCAGTTTGTATTTATTTATTCAATAAAATTGTTTAGGTCTCGTTTTACACAACGATATCGTATCAAGTAACTTGGAAAAAAAAAAAACAAAACGAATTCAGTTTTGATACACACTTTAAACGTCGCTTTTGTCCATCGTGAAAATGACGCTATAGTGTCGGTGGCTGTGGTGGCTGCGACTCAACGTGACTCCGAAAGACGTCCATCGTCACATCATTCACGTATCCTTTGGCGCACGATTATTTTATTTATTTTGATTCTCCACGAATGCGTTTCGTATCTTTTTTTTTTTTTAATTTTTTTTATTTTTATTTTAATATCAAATTTAATAAAAGTCAGAGAGTTTTTTAAGTTCGCTTTGCGACACACTCGGTGATTTTTTTCGCCCCTTTTATACTCTCACTTGCTCGCGCGTTCGCCTTTGCATCAGCGGACATTTCGTTTGCATGCGTTTTTTCCTTCTTCAATTTTTCAACATTGGCTCCCTTTCTCCCTCAGTTCCATGAGCACACGCGTTCGTCAATTATTTCCCTCTGCTTCGACCCCCCTTTTTCCTCTCCCTCGCTCCTCCGCCGTACTTTTTCTTTGCCCTCTCGTTGCATTTTCTCCCGCGCGGCTCCTGTTGGTCTCGATGACTGTAATAGAAGTACTTCTGCTGCTGCTGCTGCTGCTGCTGCTCTCGGGCTTTTCGGGCGCATTACATGATTATGCACTTGCCCTTTTCGGCCCAGGGGTTGTTTTTCTTGTCGGGCGCATGGATCAGTGGGTCCTGCTTCTCGTTTTCCTCAACGTACTCGCGCATTCTGAAAACAGAAAGAAAAATGTTTGAAAGATTGTCTTGTTATCGCCAGGATATTGTGTACACAAAGTTATTTATGAATATTTCTGTGAATGGTGGAGAAATGAGGGGAGGAAGGTCATCGCAACTACTTATTCCTCCTACATCTCTTGAAGACGTCTTTGCATCACATCCGAAAAATAAGAAAAAATTATTTTCCATTATACACGTGACCTCTCACACCCGTTCATTATCTCTACAGACCCCACTATTTTTCATGATACCCCTACACCTCGTAATTCGTTAAAAAAATTTTTTAACGTGTTTTTAAAGCGTGAATAAAAAAAAAAGGATATAGGAAATATATACAATGAAAGTAAAGTACACAGATGTATGCACGAATTTTTCAACTAGAAACATCAATGTACAGGTAGGGACACAATTTTAAAAACAAATGTCACCAACAGGACTATATCAAAGATATAGTTGTACAATCACTTTTACAAAAGCTAATTTAAATATTATAATGAACGTACAAATCATTGGCATAATGCGACGGATCCAAAATAATTAATAGAGAAACAAATTTGTTCTAGCGAAAAGTATATATAGGTAAGCGTCGCTTGTCATTTAAAACGCGCAACCTAAAAACGAAAAAAAAAAAAAAAAAAACCTCGTATCAGCATGGCGTCAGCTTGTACAGTCTCGGAACACTTACTTTTCAGCGTCGATTTCGTCATACTGCTGCTGCGCCGCTGACACTTTGGAAGAAAAAGTTCGTTCAAAGGCTTCTGCAGATCGATATCACGTGTTAAATAATAATAGCCTTTCTTTCGCTATCGTCTTCTCTCTCTTTTTTTTTTTNTCACACAAATGTAGCTGCAGAACAAAGAGTCATAGCAACAGAGAGATAAAAACAGAAATAAAAATATTGTTAAAATAAAGTCAGAAAATTAATAACAAGAAAAAAAAGATAGAATAAGGGGAATGGGCAAAATTAGTAAAAAAAATCAGCAAACATATTAAGCTACGTGTTTTTTTGTTGTAGAGGCATAAAAAACTTTATATACATGTCAAAGAGAAAAAGAATAAATGCATTAAATAAATGATTCAGGTTTCATGAAAGAGAAACTTAAAGACAAAGATGTGCAAGCAAAAGACAGACAAGTTGATTGAATTGATGAAGAATTTTTGACTAAGTAAGGACGAAAATATCAGTTGTCAATAGGAACGGAACTGCAGAAAACAATACACCGTATCAGATATTTGTGTTGAAGGAATTAGATTTTTGTTTTAAATCCTGTCGCGAAGATGTACACACGAAGAGTGGATATTTTTTTCCCACAAGCTGTAAATCTCGAAAGTAAAAACACTCGTTACTTGTGACGAATGTAGGCTGAAAGGTAAACGCAATTAGTGTTTTCTACAATCAAAAAATTACGGGGTTTCCTGTTTTCTATGCATCAGTCGAAAAATAACGACGCACGAGATGCTTTCTTACTTCCAGTTTGTAAGTATATCCCTAAATCAACTTTCAAATCTCCTTCTCCTGCAGCTCTCGAAACTTCTTTCAAAGAAAGCTACACCAAATAATGCGTGTGAAAAAAAAAAAAAAAAAGGACCAATGTCATGATACGAAATTTTTTAATTTCGTTCCAACACGAGATGATCTCAACCCGCGATTTTATTACTCAGTAGAGACAAGAGCAATATCTACGTGTGGATCCCGTGATTTTTGCAACAAGTACACGAGCCCTTCCCTAGACTTCAAAGCAAACACCATAGGCGCAGGTGCTCCAATTTCGACATCAGAGAGAGAGAAAACGCTCACCTCCGCTCCATATAAATATAATATAAACCTCACACACGTCACATAAAACGTTTATTTTTAGCCTTGCACGGTCACTCTTCATTTCGCACAAAAAACAGTGAAAGTACTCCGCACCGCGGTCTCTTTTGCCACGAGAACACATTTAAGGCTTCAAAAAAATTTCCATCTAAAAAAAAAAAAAGGAAAAAAAAACAACGGAACTGCACATAGGTGCATACTATATTGGTACAGTATAAGTTTTCACCTCCGCTCCCTTTCTGTTTGCAATTCATCATCTGCGTTACTACAAGAGAAAAAAAAGTACGATAAATAACCAAACCACGTGCTTTCGGCTGCGCCTCTTTGCCTACAGACGCTCGTGGTCCATAGGAACTGCAGGCGGCTCTTTCTACGTTCTACTTTCTAGCGGACAAGTACCGTAATGCGTGGTATACACCGCGATGCATTGGATCGTGTTACAGGGTCAGACTCACGTTCCGAGATGCCGATTTTTCGCGCCTCCGGGATGGGATATACATTTTCGAAAAAGGAGAAGAGAACATGTAGGTATATAGGCGCGGGCAGTGAACGGCGGTGTACAGTTATACTAAATAGGTGAATGTGGGCATCGGCGCGTGTGACTAATTGACCTCGTTTCGTGCCATGGCCCACCGCAGTAAAGACATTGCCGGTGTACATGCCCATACTACCGATAAGCACTTGTAAGTCTATATACGCGCAAAGTGTTGGAAAGAGGTATACCGAAGCAACAGGGTACACATTAACATGTTCCGAGGATACGTGGAGTAGGTATGGACCTATCACAGTTAAAATTTATTACTCGCGGTGGTGGGCTCTTGTAGCTTCTCAATGCTTATCATTGCTTATTGCCAGTAATTAAAAATATTAGATTGAAGAGTTTAAAAAAGTAAGTTCAAGCGTACCTACTCTGATGCAAATCAAATTGAAATGGATGATCGAGCTTGGAACGTGTCGTATTTCTTGTTCGCGTGTTCCCTTTGTCAAGGTTGGCGCGATTCTAATGGGAGGAGCCTAAGTTTCTCTCCCAATGCCACTCTTGAGCCAACGGAGCGTGTGTCCTCTCGCATTGTGTACGCGCGTGTGCGGCGTGTGTACCCTTCTAATGAACTTTTGTTCCATTCATGCAACCACCGTCTACTTATGGGTAATTAGTGAGATTTCATTCTGGGAGGTGAGAGGACTTTTTCTCCTTAATTTTTACTGTAAAAATGTCGCTTCTATGGCAAATTGCTCGTTGATGGGAACCGGTAATTTAATCGTACAAAGGAGAAATCGTTTGCATCCATCAGTTCGGTGCAGTGTTGCGGTTATTGTCGGAGAGAAAAAAAAATGGCAAATTAAATTTCATAAGCTCGATTAATCCAAGTCTTTTTTTACCATGATAAGGTTAATTTAGTTTTACTTCCACAGGATGACTATTGTGTTTGGAATGATTTATCAGTCGCTGTCCCTCTATCACGCAATAAATGGTTGTTAATAACAATTTCACGTTGTGAATTGGAGAGTATGCAAGTCGAAAAATATTTTTACCAAATCTACATCTGAGTTGAATTTCATTTGTGACTCAAGCAATGTCGATAAAATAACTATTGTGGTCAGAATTAAATAAACCAAGATACAACTTATGAATGAACGATACCATTTTCGCACAATCATATTTGGAGCCATAGTCTTTTCAAGCCATCCCAAGTGGCATTTTCTACAACAATAAAAAAAGAGCTTGGATTTCATTGCGTGTGATTTCTCTTGAAGGATAAAAAAAGCTGCTGGAAAAAAATATATTTTCCCCTATGAAATCCCAAATTTGGCTCAGAGTAGTGTGAAGTACATTGCCTCACTTTTTACGCACGTGAGTGAGCTACTCTGCGAGCTACTCCGAGTACCAACGAGATGAGAATTACACTTGGTATGATTTCGGCTTAGGACGTTTCGCACAAATTGGTTAAAAAAAAAAAAAAAAAAAAAAAGCTGTCCGCAACACCAGCGCAGCGCTTCGTGGTGCGGACATGTTGCAAAAACAGAGAGACAACGACGTGTCGTGGAGTGCATCAGGAGGGAACAAGAACGCCTGCATGTGCTAGTACGCGTCTGTTAAGAGCAGTGGCACAAATGCATGTATGGGTAATTCCGTGAAAAAAATTTGTCTCCGGAGTAACAAAAAAAAAATTAAAACAAAATATTCCGAAGGAAAAAATGTAGGACTTGGATTTTTTTCTTGGAGAAATATTAAAACAATCCTACACTTTTCTTTTTACTCTTGACTTTTTATTTTGTCTTTATAAGCTTGTTAACTTTATTGATTTTCAATCTTATTCCAGACATCGGGATATTTTTCAGATTTTTTAGGTCAAAATGAAAGAATTTCCTCTTGATACTTTTTTGTCAAACCCAAAGGTTTTTTTCTTTCGAGAAAAATATTCGGCAATATTATTTAAAAATTTTTACTTCATTTTTTTCCACTTTCATCCCAAAAATATAAAAAAAAAAAAACATTTATATTCCAAAATTCAATTTATCGCATGCTTAGGTGAAAACTCTGAGAAAACTTGAAAGTTTGTCATTTACTATATGACTTGCGAGCTTATGAACATTACCACTCTCAACAAGTGCCAACGAAAGACAAATGGTAGTTTTCCTACGAGTTTGAAAAGTCTCTGTTTGCGAACCGAGAGGTTTACGGCCCGAGCCGAAGGCGATGTCCGTATCGAGGTTCGTAAAGGAGACTTTTCGAACGAGTATCGGAAAACTGCTTTTTCGCCCGAGGAAGTACCAGCCTCCCAAAACCACCCGAGGGCGGAAAAATCTTTTTCTCAAAAGTGTAGGCGTTTAAAAAAAAAAAAAAAAAATGACAAAATCCGCCCTGTACTCGTATCCGGAACATTTTTCACGGAACCGCTCATACATCCCGCACACACGAGTACGACACGCGCCCCGTACCAGCACCGCCGAGATGATCTCTACTCGAGAGCTAGAATTGCGGCACACAGTCCGCGTACCTCGGTACGTTGTGTACATACCTAATACTCTTTTCGAAATCGCGCCTCGTTTTTCCGTCACGATTCCCCCGCAGAAGTAGTAGAATCTGCTATTACAGAGTCAGACAAGAGGCTCGTGAGCTTTGAACGAGCTCTAGATGTGTCAACCGTACTACTTCACGCGAGCACATCACTAAA